TATAAAAGCTATTGAATTAATGAACCAAAAATATCTAAACATCGACTCTTACATAAAAATATATTAATATATCAAACGATAATTTATTGATACAATCATTTGATATGTTGGCGAGTGTTTTGCCTAAACAGACACTTAACTAAGTGGTCGTGTATTTAGGAAATGTTTGTATGACTTATCAAATAGATTGCCATTTATTTCTTACTCTTTTTTGTTTGTTTGTTATTTATATATACTAAACACACCATGTTTTGCATCGATTTCTCTCTTATTTCGCATATTATGATAGCATAATAAGTATAGTTTTTATCATATGATATAACAATTAAAAAACTTATTAAATTATAAATAATATTTGACACTTATTATCGTCAATGTTATATTTTAAATACATTTTTTTAAATAGAGAAAAATGATAATATTTTTAAGTTTTAATGCTATATAAAAAATTATGCCTAAATGTATGTATCATAGTTACTCATCATTATGTTATGAAAAGTGCTTAAAAAACTTTTTAAATTTAATACTTTTTAAATTTAATACTTTTTAAATTACAATTCCATTTAAATTTCAAATTTGAAATGTATATATATTGATAAAATTTAGTACATTATAAAAACAAAACAATATAAATTATGTACAATAAATTTTTATTATAAAATATTATTTCAATTAAAATTAATGAAATTTTCAATTGCTATCAATAAAAAAATATTTTTATTATACTTTGTATATAAATGCAAACATATTTATATATTAAGTTAGATTACAGTATATATGACTAAAAATAATAGATGAAATACAGTACATACTATTGTTTGACAAGCACTTGAAGTAAATTTTGTTAGTTATTAAATGGATCTTATATTTCATTAAAAATCTCATTAGTTTTAATTTGTTAACTCATAATAAATCATTAAAGTATCATAAAAGAAGAAATCTTTGTTATGAGCTTTTAATAACATAAATAATATAAAAATAATATAATATAATAAATAATATAATATATAATTATAAAAAGAATATATATTTTAAACTAACAATAAAGTGTTAAAAAACTATTCAATATTAATTGATTTTTAGTACAATATATTGTACAGTATTATACTGTACTATTTGTCACATTACATAATAATAAAAATAAAAATTCAAGGCTTTGATTATTAAACAAATGACAAACATTAATGTAAATCTCATATTAATTTAATGAGTAATTAGCTGAAAGAGATAAGAAAAATGTTTAATTTAAATAATAATCCGGTGCTCATAACCCCATCAATGTATGCGAAACCTGTATTATTAAATGCATGAGATTTTTATTTTGTTATTTATTTTATTTGACTTTTAATATAATTGCAGTTTATTTATTATATATAAATGTTATTTAAATTTCTAAACATTTAACTAAGTTTGACAACAGATAATAAGTTAGAATATATTAATTAATTCAATGCTTTTTTAAAATTTTATTTACAACAACAATATTCATCTAAATTGACTCCAATGTCTTGTCTAGTGATTGCTATCAATTGAATTGAATAAATGATTTAAAGATATGCACAGAAAAAAGTAATTGACTTTTTTTTGAAAGAAATAAATTTTTAAAATACTTGTTTAGCCAAATACAGTAATTTTAAAATATATATAAAGTTTTTATACAATGTATAATAAATATTATTTAAACTAAAATTTTTAGAAAAATTAGTTTATTTTTTAATTCATACATTATGAAAATTGTTTTTATGTTTTTATTTAGATCACAATTGTGTGTAATCTGTATTTTATTTCATGAGTAGATAATTTCAAATTTACTTTTATGTACATAATTATATATATATATATTTATTTATTTAAATTAGATAAAATTATATTTATTTACTATATATATATATAAATCAAATATTTATCACAAAAATATGTATATAAATATATGTCATAAACAAAAATTTATTAAAGAAAAAGATGAACCAATTTGTTTTGTATGAAATGTATAATTTATAAATTACACGAAAAAAACAAATGATTATTGTTGTTATTTTTTATATTAGCATAATAGCAACAAAAAAACAGTTTGTATAATACAGTAATTTTTTCCAAATATAGTCATATATTTATGTGAATGTTTTCGGTATAGTTTTTAGTGATTGTTATCAAATTTAAAGTCTATAGCAAAACGAGGTCGGAAATCGTATTATTTGATTAGTGATAAAAAACATATTAGAAAAAAATTTCGTTAATAATTATAATGTTTGTATATTAATATTGACTTTTATTATAGAAAAAACAATTTGTATTATTTTATCGATTTTCAGTCTTTATAATTGACTTCTGTTTGTTTGTAATTTATAACCCGTTTTTAAAGTAAAATAAATTTTGTAATATTTTGAATTCAATATTATTTATTTGTTATTCAGGAGTGATCTTTGAATAAATTTTATTTTTGTTTAGATTTTTTTTTTATTAAAACGCTTCAAGCATTCAAACAATTGTTTAATCAAACCGAAGGTTAAAATATTGGTCACGAAATAAAACTGTGTTTTAAAACAGAAAACAAATAAAAATAATAAATTTTCAATCATTTATTTAAAATAATCTTCTAATAAGTATTTAATTTATGTAACATTTTATTACTAAAAATTTAAAAACAGTGTAATTTAATTTAATTCAAATTTATAAATTTTATTTATATTTAGATACTTATTAACTAATATACAACAAATGTAATATTCATGGATATATTATTTATTAATCCATTTATTTATTTATTTGTTTATTTTTACCAGTTATCAGTAATAAACACTATTAATATTTTAACGCAAGCAATATATCAATATTTTAATAAACATTTGACCTTAACATTTGATATGTAAAATAAATAATTTATATTTAAATTTAAAATGATTTTTTAAAAAGGATCCGCAAATGTAATAAATATTAATTTATGCGTCAAATTTAAAATACCTGATCTTTTTTAAAAAGCTCATGTATTTGAGATTCATTAAATAACAACAATCAACAAAATAAAATTTAATTACTTAAAAATATATACATTTCTTTTAGTTTATTAAAATATTTAAGTTTAGTTTAGAATGTTTTTTTAATTTTCTATCTGTTAAAAGAAAATTTATTAATAATTTTGTAAAATCAGTATTTTATTTCTTTGAAATAAATTTATGTAAAAACTTTTTTGTTTTGTTTATTAAACTTAATTAATGTTTACCACTTTAATTTGATTTTTATTTATCATTTTAGGTTATTATACACCAAACGGAAAGAATTAATTTTTTCTTAAAAGCCTAATTATACCAAAAAAAAATTATTATTTAATAAATAACTTTACCTTATTTAGGAGCGCTTGGAGACCAACTTTTTTAAAGCGTTTTTTGTATGCAATAAATATTTAGATAAATTTTTACCCAAAAAAACGGAACTTAATTTTATAACAATTTACACGAAATAAAAAGTCTATCAAATGAAGTGATGGATAACTGATATAATTAGATAAATCTCTGTCATTAAAGATTTAGCACATATTTAGATAAATAATAGTGTGTTAAGTATTAAGACATATAAGAGGACAGTCTTTTATATTAACGAAATAAATGAATCGTAGTTTTGATAAAACTATTGTCGAGACATTTGAAAGTGACTTTTATTCAATAATAGTCAAAGCTATGGACTCCGGGAGCGCAGCATCTCTACAGTCAATCGATAAAAAAAATATATTATTATATTTATTATGAAAAGTTTAGTTTTTGGCCTCGATTTTCAAATAGCCGTTTATTAATCAATATTATACATACATATAGTTTCCCGATATTTATTAATCCTTTGACTTTTTTATGACAATCCAATAATACTATTGAATCGATTATCTATTAAATTTATAATTCAAATACAAATTTATTTGGAAACTTACAGTCAATGAATATCATGTTATTTAGAGTATAAAATTATGTTCAATATTTCACTCTTTATTACGCTTTCAATACATTATAATTTGTGATATGATGTGAATTATAATCTTATGCTTTTGGCTGAAAAAAACCATTAAATAAGTCTTTTAATATTTCGTTAAAGAAAAGTTTATTTTTAGTATCAATTTTATCGATTATTAGTTTAATATATATATATATTAAAATTTTTTATACAATTTTATTTTTGTACTTATTCACTATAAACCAAATAAAATCTAATTAAAATAAATAACCATAAAAATTATTAATTAAGTATTAATTATGTTTTAAATTTAACTTAATTTTTTATTTTTATAATATTTAATATAAATTATTTATTTATAATGTTTAGATAAATAAGATATATTTATTTAGATAATTACAGTTAAGAGTTGAATATTTATTAATAATTTTGAAATTAGCCTAATTTAGCAATATTTAGTAATACTTATAATTAAGATACATTTAAATTAAATAAAATTGAAATTAAGTACAAAAATTGCATTTTATATTCATATTCAAACAATTATTTAAAAATTAATCATTTTTTGAGTATTATAAATAAAGCAAATTATCAATATTTATAAATACAGTATATATAAATTACCATAACTATTTTATGGTTAATAAATCTAACTAAAGTTATTATTTTTGTTGTTTATTATTTTAATTCACTTTCATAAATACTATTAATGAGATGGGCATTAGTAATGTTAATTGTATGACAGTGTATATAATACTGTACAGTAATATGTCCACTAATACAATTAACTTTATCATAATTGTATAATACTAATACATACTAATGTACCCTGTACTACATATTACTAAAAGTAATCTAAATTGATAATTAAAAAAAATAAAATAGATAAAAAATAAATTTAAATATTTTAATTAAATATAAGTTATATATCAAAATTAGTTATAAAATGTATGCATTGATAACTTTGATGGATTATATAATATATTGAAGTTCTTAAATATATAAAGATTTAAAAGATAAAGTTTTTAAGCAAACAAACAATAAAAAAATTCATTAATGATTGTAAAAGTTTAAGTTTTGTTTGAAATAAATGCTGTACAATAAAAATGTTTGATTTAATATAATATAGATATTAAGCTTTGCTGGTATCAACACCAGTGGTTCGGGCGGCGGTATACTCATAGCTTCGGCTGCCATTGGAGTCAAAGTCGCGATTGGCGTTATAAAAGGCCAAACCAAAGAAGGCACAGCTGCCGAACAATAGGATTGCACCAAAACATAACAAAAATGGACCTAAAAGTATGTCATCATTAGTCATTAAATTAATAATTTTTATTAAAAAATATATATAATTAGTTTAATCGTTTTTTTACTAACCCACTAAACGCGGAACACTTGCGCCCAAATATCGGTTGTAATTTTCCTAATATATATGTTGTATAATTTTTTTAATTAAACAATTTTATTTATATTTAGAAAATCAATGAATAATAATTTTACTAAATATATATATAATTAAAATTTATTATTGTTTTTATTATTATTATTATTAATAGATTAATACTAACATCATAATTAGGTGGAGTGATCTCTGTGTAAGCAATTCCCGTTATAACCGCACCCGCGATCATAAATATTAAGCCTGAATTTCAATAATTTTAATTATTAATATGATATATATATAAGAGAGAGAGAGAGAGAGAGAGAGAGAGAGAGAGAGAGAGAGAGAGAGAGAGAGAGAGAGAGAGAGAGAGAGAGAGTTATAATATAATAAAATCGTTTTCAATGTAGTAATAAAATTAGGTTAAGATATATTCAAGTCCTACCTAACAGTCCGACTCCGGCCGAACACCAGCCGACGGCAGCAAAGTTGCCGACGCGTCCGTAATAAGTCATATTGAAAAATAGTTACCGGTATTGGCTTGAACTTAATGTTACAAAATTATAAACAAATTATTGTTAAAAATCACAATTAAAACAATTAATTTCATACAAACAGTAATGTAATGAAATAATTTATTTGTATTACTTTACTTTTGCTGTCGATTATAACTGAAACCAACGCCTAAAATGTATGTCTCATTCAACGCATTAGATTTTGTTTTAATTGTTATCTCAAATAAATAACTTAAATAAAAGTCCAATAAGTTCTTGACTACAAAAAATCATATCAAATGTATTGTCAATTAGGCGATACCGTTGTCACGGAATCCACTGAATATTATAATATATTGCACTTCCGTTTGTTATTTTCATTTGTAGTGACGATTATATATATATACAGTATATATATATATTCATTCAAATATTTACGATTTATATCACATTTTAAATACATTTTTCTCTAAGCAATGAGTAATTTAATTCAATGATAATTTGAACAAAACAATGTCCAATATAATAAAATCTTAAGCAAACAAACAAAAAATGTGTTTAAATTATTTAATTTTTTTATTTACAATAATTTTAAATGATTTTACAATTTATTATATTACAACTTATTGTTCGCCAAAAAATTATGTAATGTTTGAAACATTATGTTTCATAACTTGTCTTAAAATCTTTTATAAACTTTCAAATATAATTATTAAGTTATAATTAATAGTAATAATCTTATAATATGTTAATTAAGATTAATAACATATTATATAAATTTCTCTTAAATAATATCAATAATTAGCTTTTTTAGTCATTTCATGTCATTTGTAAGGCTTTTATTTTATATCTAAAACTTTTCCTTTCAGTAAAATAAATCAATAAATATTACTTTTTAAATCCAAATTCGATTAATACATTTTAAAAACCTAATTAACAAAACTTTTAATAATTTGGTTACATATATATATGCCCTTTGGATAGACTTTTAAATGTTAGGACTCCACTATTTAAGGGCACACCATCACAGGCACAGGCATTTTGTTAACAATAAAATTTATTAATTAAATAATAATAATATTTTGTTCGTAAATAAATTTAAAAAACATAAAGCTAAATAAAATAACATTTTTAAACATAATATTTTCATAATAACTTAACGATAATATGAATTTTAACATAACTTTTCAATATATATAAATTTATATTTACTGTATAATATACAGTGTATATGTAACATGAATGAGAGATTAAACAGTTTTTATATAATGTAAATGTCATTTAATTGTGTTTGCATAGCACTGTTTAATCATCAAATAAATTAAACACATTTCAGCACCAATTCAATGATTTTCTAACAACAAAAAAATCATTCATTAAATTATATTAGTTAAGGGTTATTGTAATCAACGCGCGAATAGATTTTAATTTCACTAAACATTATAATATAAAATCATTAAAATCTAACAATAATTTTAATAACATTTTAAGGCCTATCCACTCGTCGACTAGAAAGTTAAATGTATTATTTATTAATCTCATTGTGACTTTGAGACGCTTAAACATTATTTCTAATTTCTACCATAATTTTTCAAAGTCAATGCCTTCAAATCCCTTATCCCTGTACTCCCAATACTTGTCGTTGTAGTGATATATGTCGTCTCCAGAACTCATTATCTCTTTTCTAAATTAAATAAAAAATTTAAATGTTTTAAAAAAATAAAATATTATAATATATATTGAAAACTAGAGCAGACCTGAACCAATTCGGCGGTTTATCTAACTGTCCATTATTTTCACGCATTCGTCTTCGTTCGCGTTGTTGTTGTTCTAATTGTAATTTAATTGTTTCGGCATTTTGTATGTTTCCCTCTTCTAGTAGTCTCTGGTCAGGTCTATAGCGTGTGTCAGTCGGTGGCAATAATTTTCTCAATTCTGGTGTTAATTCGTTGAGCTCTATAGCAAATCTACTGAATCCATAATAAAGTTCGTAGTCCTCAGGCATAGCTCCGGGTCTCCAAATACATTTGGCACCGGAAGCTGTACCGCAATGCAATGACTCATTCCATTTACCAAATAACCGATCAATGATATCTCCGTTTGCATTAAGCAATACACCATTGATCTCATGTTTCTTATTAGACCAATAGCTAGCCTTTTCAAAAGTCAGGCGACATGTCAGCTCTCCATCAGTTATGGTTAACTCTCCATAATTATCGACCCATCGCTGACCTTTGAATAGATTGTGGACACAAGTCGTCACTTTATTCCATCTGTAGTGAGCGTTGGATGGTTTCAATAGGACGTGAACCGTTCCGAACGGAATTATTTCCATAGATTTGCCCCAAAACTTGCTTTTGATTCTCATATCTTAAGACATATAACAATAATATTAATTACATAATCTAACAACTAATTCAACCGTCACACAAACCTTGCCAAAATATATAGTTATCTGAATCGGCCCGACACGCAGATACAGGTGGGTGATGGCTCACCTGTTCTGATATAAATTTAAATCCCTTATCTTCACGAATAGACTCATAAGTTTCGCCTAATAACGGATTAAATGGTTTGTGACCGGCTCTATAATAGGCAGAACTATAGGAAGAAACGGCAAATGCGGCGATTTGTAGCATTCGTTGATGACTGTCCTCAATGGCAGCAGCTTTGTCCAGAAGTTCACTGTATTCAAGTTCTTCGCAGAGTCGTTGCAATACATTTAACGGTTCATTGATTGTGACCGGCATTGAAATCTTAGATAAATCTTTTCCGATATTTTTACACAATAAACTCCAAAGGCTTACATCACCTAAAATATTATTTTTTTATTAATAAACTAACGGTAATTATAATTAACTCAAAATATGTAATACCAGTGTCAGGTTGAGGTGCTGGTAGTTTTGAACGCCTGCCTGTAGTGTTGCCAATAGTGTTAATATTATCAGTGGATGCTTTGGATAAATTTCTATATTCAGTGCCGTCATCACTGAGATCAGTGGCTAGACTTTCTTCATCCTCATCCTCTGTAGATGTAGTACAAGCCGACAGATTCTCTTCGGCGTCGAAATATTCAGAAATACTTAATACTGAAGTACTATCTCTGGAGGCTGAATGAGCTAACGGTTCGTGAATCACTGTTTGTTCATCATCGACATCGTTAACACTCATTGCACGGACTATTTTCACTGCTTCGGTAGGTATGGGCGATGATAAATGTAATACATCTGACTGTTCGTGAATCCGTTCCAATAATGATTTTAGTTCTTTGTTTTGTTGGAGCGCTTCCGACAGCGATTGTCTCAATGAATAGACTAAATCGTTATCAGTGTTACGACTTTTACCTGTAAATGATTTTTTCCTTTTAAAACTATCATTGCGTTGAAGTGACCGATAAAGTGAACGAAAATTGTTGTTAACTAAGAAAAAACAAATTAAATATAATTATAAACATTGAATCAGTTAATTGAATGTTCAAAACAAACCATCGTTGGCTACAATAACAAATTCAGTGATAGCTTTTGTCGATTTTAGTGAATCAATACTTATAGTATCCTTGAAATCAATGTCCGCCTCATTACAAGATTGTGTCATCCAATCTGATGGCGAACCATTTGGAGCCAGCGATGTCTCATTAAGTACTGGATGAGATGAGCTCAAGTGGTGGCCAATTGGCAATGGCTTAAGATTATTGGATGGCATAATATTCAATGTATCACTATTTTGAGCGTTTATTTCATTTTTGTCCGCTTTTTTATGTGACTTATCATTTACAGTGTTCGTCGTATTGTTTTGTTTTTTACGGCGAAGAAGAAAACGACGCCTTTTCTTAAGGCCAACTGTTTCCGACGGAATGTTATTTGTTTTGGACTCCATTTCCATTTCAATAACTTTTAGCAATGAACTCAACTTCACGAGCTTTAGTTGCAAATCATTTAACTCTTTGGTAGCATTGGTATCCTTTTCATGACTTGAGTCCAAAATCCAAGCGATCACTTTAGAGTTCATCTCGTGTTCGGGAGTTGTCGTCGTACTACTTATTATTGACCGAATCGGCGACGATATGGCATTAATTCGATTGCCAAATGCTATCTCGTGTTGTCTGAAGAGTCGATGATGTCTTAACATTTGAACCCATTTCATAAATAACATTCTGTTCTTTACTTTTAAATGATATATAAATTCTTCGGCATCGATGTCAATGCGCTTTGAGCTACGTTTGGTCGAAATGACCGAAAGTCCGACATCGACTGAGCCGTGAATCTTCCCTTTCATCATATCATTTGGACTTTTAGAGTACGAAAGGATTCCATTCTCTAAATGGAAATGCCTTTTATGCCAACCCTTGAGCGGCCATTTGCGTCGTTTAAGTAAATATCCGTCAAATTTGTTTGGCCTTTCCTCACATCTTTGTCCATCTTTCAGACCTTCCAATATCTCCCATTCATTTGCTGTTTTAGTGGACGTCTTTTGTGAGGAATGCACTGATTTGTCCGATTCTTCATAATAATCATGTTTTTCTTTAACTCCATTAATAGGAATACCATTCGGTCGGGTAATGATCGGCAAAGAGGTACCAGATTTTCGATTGTCATTCTCTTGGCTAACAGTACTGGCACTCTGTTCCTAGACATCAATATGTCATCAAATGATGAGACAATTAGACGGAAAAACTTACCGAATCGGACGTATGCTGTAGTGATTGTGCTTCTTGTGATTGTGTCGATAGATCCGTCAAAACGGTATTACAGATATTAATCGCATGATTAAGTGGCGGAGCAGTAGCCGACATACTGGTGCCGTCCGGTATCTGTCAACTGTATTGTGGTTGTTGTGGTTATTTGGTTCACAACAACTTCAACAATAACCGCTTCAATAGGTAGTTATGATCACCGATTGATTGCTTTGTGTATTATATTATAAAATATTTGATTCAAACATAACTTTTATTATATCCATTGACTGCTAATCTAATCTTATCGTCAATTTATTCAATTATAATACTAATACCAAAGTCTCAACAAATTTTAGTCACTAAACAAATAAAAAGTGAAAAAAAACAAAAAACAACTTATTATTAAAAACATTTGATTTCATTTAATTAAATACTTAAAACCTAAGCAAATATTTATCAAAATACTTACAATAATTATTTTTAAATAGCTATTAAATTGATATTATTTATATAAATATTATATTAAATATTTGCGAAAAATAAATGAATTTATTTTTGAAAATTTCATTCAAAAATTATTTCAAATTTGAGCACAAATTGTATTAAATATCAATTAATTTTGTTGTTTCGCAATAAATATTATATTAAATTATATATCTTTTTTCGACAGTTATAATTATAACCATATTTGTTGACTAATTAATTATTATTATATATATAATACACTAAATAAATAATAAATCACACGAAACCAAATAAATGACAATAAATATCAAAATAAATCAATACTTTTGTCTCAAAGATTAATATTATATATACTATCAATAAATACTTTTGATTTAAAATAATATTTGTATTATATATTTTTAGATATATACACAAAATAACTATTTATAATAACTATTATCACAATTAAAATTAAGTATATTATTAATAATAATAATAATAAAACCAATTTACTTATCAATACATTGATTGACTTTTTTTAAATAAAAATATCAATGTATTTATCGTCAATAATAACATTGTTATTGTCATTGAAATTGTTTGGCCAAACAAATGATAGACAAAATAAAATACAAAAAAAACACAATTTAATAATATTTAAGAGAAAATATAAATGAATTAATATAAATATATAGTTTAAAATTGTGAACAATTATTATAATAAATATAATAATAATAATAATAATAATAATGAGTGACTTATTTATGATTGTGTGTATGATATGAGTGACACTAAAACACACAAATGTTTTGGTTGTTTAACACAAACACAGAGACAGACATTGAATGCAATTATATACTACTGTACTGTAGTTATACTGTACTGTAGTCTACTGTATGTTAGTGTATGTGTTATGTATTGAATCGCGTCTCCAATGAATACCGTTTAATAGTACAGCAAACGCTTTATTATTATTATTGTTAATACAGTCGACACTCGTTTAGAGTTACATTCAATTATTAAAATTTTTATGTTATATATTTATTATTTATAGTCTATTGTGTTTAAATAAAAACTTGTTGTTAAATATATTTGTTTAGGTTTAATACATATATTATAGTTAATACTTAAAATACAGTACAATACAACACTAGTTTTTAGTTATATAATGCAAACATATTGTGAAAGATATTGTAATTTATATACATTACAGTACAGTATTATACTTTGGTTATACTGCTGTATGTATTGCATGAATGTATTGAAAGTATAGCAAACTGTATGTGTCATTGCATATACTGTACATTGTATTGTACTGTATTGTACTGTATTGTACTGTATTGTACTGTATTGTACTGTATTGTACTGTATTGTACTGTACATGTATTGAACACTTACGTACATTTGAGATCTACCTGTGCTTTAATGATCGTTGGCTTCACTAAAAAAGACTTGTAATCAATGTGTGATCTGAAGGATGTGTTGAATAATATTTTTATCAAAAAATAATACATTAATCACTAATATTTGAGTAGACAGTGACTAATATAAAGTTTACTTTTTAGTGTATGATTACAATTAGTTTTTGAAAGCAGTTTCAATAACACTAATAAATAAAATAATAATAATTTGATTTTGAAAATAAAACACAAAAATCAATGACTAAACTTTTTTTTGTTCACAAAAATAACAATATTATTAAACACACATTCAATGATTGTATGAACAAAATAATAATAATAATAATATTTTGCATTAAATGTTAAACAATTCTAATTACAAATTAAGTTATTTTCTATGAATGAAACACATATTTATTAGCTTTCAAACAAATAGCTTAAGTTTACACAACTTTTCCAACAAAGAAAAAAAACTTTTTTTATGTTTGCTATTAGATATCTGTTTTATATACAGTATTAACACAACAGGTACAGTATAGTGTAGGTATTATTTTTTAATAAATAAACTGTTTTAACGACATGACTTTCAATTTAATAATACTAATAAATTGTTATATATATTATATACCCACAAAAAAACTTTTTATTATACAAATACTGTAGTTTTGCCAAAAATGTTACGATTGAATGAATAAATATATTTTATAGCATTACTTAAAATACATAGATTTCTCTTTCAAAATATTTATATTTCTTTTAACTTCACTTAATCACCAGTTAATCCAGTTTTTTGTTACAATAATGAATACAATGTTTCCTTAAAATTATAAAATCATATCTCTGTTTGATGCAAATGAGTTAAGCCCTAAGTCATTGTATAATTGGTAGTAAAAGTATTTCTCTTTAAGTTAATTAATACTTTAAATATAAAAGTTATGCTAAATTTAGTAACTATTTCTATTATTACCGTATAATTTTGTTGTTGTTTTTTATGCTTTTATGTTTAACAAGTTATAAAAATAGTACCGTTTAATAATAAATTATATAATTCACTATATTTTGTCACTTTTTTTATTGTTGTTAATAATTTTTATTAATGTAATACAGTATTATATAATGATATAAGATTTAGTTTAATAATTTAAATGATGTGACTTACTATTTGTTATTTGTATAGAGATACATGAAAATAATATTTAAAAATATATTTTATTTTCTAAAACAAAATTATTTACACGAAATATAAATATTTGATAAAAAATATCTTAAATCGTTATTTTATAAAATTCAATACAAATATCATTAAAAACAAAATATAATGTCATTTATATTATACATGTATTTTGATAAACTTTTAGATCATTTTTAATCAATTATTAAATAAACTATGTTTTGAATTATTTAAAAAATTATATTTAATCTTATTTTAAGTAAGTTCAATGATATTTATATATATAAATAAAATAATTATAAATATAAATTTTAAAAATTATATTTTAATAAATACCATTAGTTTTTTATAATTTAATTATAGATATGATTATATTTGTTAAATTCATTATTTAAAACTTTATTTAATAATAATTAATAGATTAATAAATTAGACTTTTATAATAATTATTTTATTGATAATTTTTATAAATTTTAATATATAATACAGTTTAATATACAAATTAATGTATTTACACCTATTTTTTTGCGTATGTCAAAATCATTTAAAAACTTAATACAGTAATAATAATAAAATATGAAATTGAGTCTGTTATAGGAATTTTATAGTTTAAACAATTTTAATATATAATATGTTGTGAAATATATAAACCAGAGATGATATACATACAGTATATGCAAATTTGTTTGTATCAAATCATCAATCATTTTTGTATATATTACATATATAATACAGATGTTTTAAATGTGATCTTTTATTTTATATTTTAAACTCCTTCACTGTCTTAAAACTTTTATAGTTGTGAAAGACATAAATAAAAATACAATTTTAGTAAAGTTATTAATAGCAAATTGAGAGAAAAGTTTCAAGTTTTCACTTTAAATGCAAATATTTTAGTTGATTATATCTTTTCATTTATATGTTTAAAATAATTGAAGTGAAAACCTTAGCTTTTTTATACATGATATCAATTATTTTTTATTTGTATGAATGGAAACCTAAATAATAAAAAAAATCAAAATTCAAGGTTCAATTAAAATTGATGCTATAATAATAATATTAATAATACTATAATTATAAGAAAAAAAGAGTTATATTATTACAATAAGAGTATTATTTTGAGAAATATTATACGTTAAAAAACTGGCAGTTCATGATATGGACATACATTTTATATACAGTATATATAATAATAATTTATAGAAATGTCATGAATGTATCTTAAATAATAAAAGGCATTGTTTTTTAGGCATAAATCTTGTAATCTATCGGTTATTATATCCCTTTTAATATATGAGACAATAGTTGCATGTTTTGCAAACAAACAAATGACACAATCATTTGTATGATATAATCATTGAATGAGACGGCAAACGATGTGATAAAATTTCGTATGAATACAAGTGAAACACAAATAGTTATCAAACAAACAAAAAATAGCAATCAGTCTTCAATCGGCTGATTGATAGTACTTTTGGTGAGCTCTTCTTCATCGTCGTTGTCAATGCCGACAGAATTGTTGGATGAGAAGCACAGCACAGAACAACCACAACATACGAGTCCCATGAAGACAATGGTCAGTCCGGCGCCGATCAATAGCACCAAAATCAACCAAACGTCTCGCATATCATTTTGGTCGTAAGCAATGGACACAAGTATGCCGACACCAGCCGCTGACAATGCTATGCCAAATATAATGGCCAAACCACTGGAACACATACAGGCTCTTGACTTTCTCATTGTTTGAGATGACTGGGCTATTATTTGTTGGATTATAACTATTGTTTTAATTAACTGACCAAAAACTATACCAGTAATAAGTCAAATGTTACTTAAGGTCTGAGTCCTATCTTTAATATTACTTAAGCTTAATGTCAAATGAAATGTTTTTTAAAAAAATACCAATTACTGTAAAAACAGTTACTACGGATACCATTCCTTAATCAAAACACGAAAAAACATTGAATTTAACATATTGTTGATTGTAAAACATGCAAACATTTAGTACTATAGCAAAGATTTCTTTTATAGAAAACAATTAATTATTTTTACACTAACACCACATACAATACACAAACTGTATGCGTGTTGTTATAAATACTAATACTTTTAATTCAATAACAAAAAATTATTGATATTTAATATTACTATCATATCATATGAAAGCAATTTGCAATAATATTCATAAATTGTTTTAACATTTATATTAATTAAGATGTTTATTGTTAAAATGCAAACTATTTATTATTTAAAGCATAATTTTATTTTCCAATACA